AAGCAGACACAACAACAACCGCCATTCGCCACTAAGTGGTGGTGACGTCACCACGACGCTTGTGCCAGGCCATGTGCACCTTGAGGCCACGTGAAGTGTCGAACGCCCGCTGACAGGAGGTCATGAGGCAGACCCAGGTGCCACGGGTCGACTAAGATGACTGGCTGATGCACCACCTGTGCCCCCTACTGTGCCAACCTGCTGTGCTTTAGCCACCCGGTGGTCCGCTCGTTGTTGTGAGCGTCGCTCCTCCGCCCTCCGTTGTTGTTGGAGGGCGACTGCCTCCAACTGCCCAGTAGCGTCCTTCACGAGCCTCCTCCACAGAGGCCGATCTTGACACCGCTGGTACCAGTCATCGGCAAGTCCACTCAGCTCCACGTCCTCCTGTACGACATCACTCCATCTCTTCTCTAGCCCGTGCCGCGCCCGTTTAGCCCCCTCGATCCGGCTGAACAAAAGCTGTTTCGGCATGCAGTGGCTGGGCATGTGGGCTACATGACCCAGCCAACGCAGCCTTGCCTGCCGGAGGAGCTCACCAATGGGACCTTGCCCAGATCTTTCAAAGATTTGTGAGCTCCTCACACAATCCAGCCTGGTTAAACCCAGGATGGATCGTAGGCAGGCTAGCCTAAATGTTTCTAACCGGCGAAGATGTTCCATTAGGAGGGGGTCCACGTTTCGCAAGCGTAGAGAAGGGAGGGAATGACCGTGGCCGAGAAGACCTGAAGATTAGTGCGGAGCGACAGACCAGGTAGCTTCCACACAGCATTATGCAACCGATGAAAAGATATTGCCGCTCGACTGATTCGGAGTGACACACAGACACGCACACACAACAGACACGGAAATAGATACGGAGACAGACATACAGACAGACACCCCGAGATACGGCAATGTGGAATTTCCATCGCTGATAGTTTGGGTCGTTCTGCTTTTTATGTGTGGATTGGAAACATGCACGATTCCCGAAGCGGAATAAAACCCAAGAGGTGCGTAGGAAAGCACGTAGATACCGACAGACCCAAATCATGTGTTTTAAATTTAGATTTAAACGTGCGTAATTCTGCAGTTTCCTCCCATATCTAAAACAAAAATGCCCCGCAGCCTGTAAATGGTATTTGCCAAACCACATCCCGATGCTGATGAATTTACCTGCAAATTACTCAATTGGGATGACACACAGCAACATCGCCCCCTGCTGTTAAAACCTTGGCTGGACTCTCCTGAAACACGGAGACACAGATACACGGAGACAAAGATAAAGATCCCCCGTATAGCCTTAACAAACTGTAGGGCAAGTGCTGTTAGCGAGCAGCACCTATGAAGAAGGCCGGCACGGCACACGTAGGTGGCCAGCACCACGCCCGGCCGCCTTTGTCTCCCCAGTGACGATGTTTACACGCCGCAGCAGGTAGTCGTTTGAGGCTGAGTCAACCTAGGGGAGGCCCAGGACCAGGTTCAGATAATCGTCACCGATGTTGGCCGTGAGCGGGAATCGAACTCGGGTGGCCGGGTTCGTAGCGTGGCACGTGAAACGCTGCACCACCGCTCTCCACTATGAACACAACAACCGCCATTCGCCACTAGGTGGCGGTGATGTCGCCACGGCGCTTGTGCCAGGCTAGGTGCACCTTGAGGCCACGTGAAGTTTCGAACGCCCGCTGGGAGGTGACGGGACAGACCCAGAAGGTGCCACGGGTCGACTGACTGAGACGAGTGGCTGATGCACACCAGCTGTGCCCCCTACTGTGCCAACTTTCTGTGCTTTATCCACCCGGCGCTCCGCTCGTTGTTGTGAGCGTCGCTCCTCCCGCCTATGTACACACAACCACTGGCTTCATCCAGCCGTTACATACGAGAGAACTGTATTGTACATCCCCAAGAAATCAATACTTTTTTTAACACACCTGTAAGAGATTTCTACCAACTATTGATTATAGTCGAGCGCTTAGGAGGTAGGTGGTTGCGTCACGCGTGTTGGGATTCTTACCCCTTAACATGCAGGGTCGATAAGAGGTGTCCTTGAAGATCACAGTACAGCAGGTAGGACGCTGACCTTATGATTTAAACGCTGTTATTGTTAAAGTCGCGCGTGTGGTGTGTGCGACGATTTTCACCGATTCCCCCCCCCCCTTTCCTAACCCCTTCACACCTCGTTGCTTAAATACAACGCAGCGCTACTGTATAACCCCATGGCGAAATCAGCGGGGAACATGCCCAACCAATTCCGTCGCATCTTCAGAAGGAAGTGGCTGTGTTTAGTAGTTCCATGCCGCCCGTCTTCAACGCGCAATTGACCAGCGCGTTTGGAATAGGCTCAACACAACCCCACGCACGACTCGTACAACAACAGTGGTCAGTGGGATTGACAAAAGGCATGGGGGGACATGTACACACGTATGATACATACCATGTCGACCACTTGGGAGTGCCCTTACTTTAGGGGCCGTTCATAAATGACGTCACGCACCTACGGGGGGGAAGGGGGGGGTTGAGCAATGTGACGTCACATCAAAAATGCGCAACTTTTAAAATAAATATAGACAACACGTTCTACTTAATTAATTAGAATTTTTAATAAATGTTTTCTCCTACAACATCAGAGTGCAGCGTCACGTTAAATACGCACTACAATAGTTTAAAGCGATTTTAAGCATTTTTTTATTTATTTAAAGCTTTCGAGACTGCAGTGATTCATATTCTTGGTTCTTTTGGTAAAGTCACGTTGAAGGGAAAACAATAAAATAATTAAAAAATATGAAACAATGAAATTCTCACGACGTTTCGACTGCAACACCACAAGCAGTCATCATCAGGTGTGAAAACCAACGGCAAGATCATTTGAAAGAAGTGGCGCGTTTATTTATTTACTTACTTTTTAAGCGCTAGCACCACGGACAGCGATTTGACAGTTTGTTTAGATGGACGAGTCCATCTATGTTCGGAAAAGAGGGGGGGGGGGAGACGAAAAATTAATGTATGCTGTCTGAAAGCCACCGTAAGCGTGAACAATCAATTAAGACCCGAAATGGTTTATCGCATCCTTCCAATGATTGCTAAGCCAGAATCCATCTTCTCCGTTGAAATTGTCTCTGTGCTTGTATATGTGGATAGCCTCATGAACGAATCTCTCATGGTAGCCAGATGGCTTGCAAAGAACCTCTGTCTTGGAAAAGTCAATGTCATGTGAGCCTACTGAATTATAACAGTGATCTGCCACGGCCGAGGTGTTGGTCCTACCGTGTTTAAGGTCTGCTTTGTGTTCACGAATGCGGTCCGAGACATGTCGTTTGGTTTATCCAATGTAACTACTACCACAGAGGCAACTTAGTTTGTAGACACCAGGGTAATGTATGTCCGGAATCACATCTTTTACAGACGGAACCAGATCACAACACATTACATAAAATCCGTCAAATCGCTATCCGTGGCGCTAACGTTAAAAATAAATAAATACAAACCGCCACTTATTTTATCCTACAAAGTCCCATCGCTCGCCGTATGGACCTGAAGATTAACTTTCCCTGTACAAGAACACGGGGTAAACCGAATGGGATGACAGCTAATGCATATGTACAACACTAAGGCATCGATCAAACATTCCCAAGTCATTGAAGCCTCCTCTGAGTTCTAACGAGAGAAACGCACGGTCAATTTAGTCTGTGACACGTTTTTTTATCCTCCCCCTCCCATCCCTAACTCATAAAAGCAATACTCTAATTAATAACAATCAAAGCCGACGGTCCCAAGTCACTGTGAGCGTTTTTGTTTACATCGGTTAGACCGCCGATTAATAAAAGTTAATCAAATTTCGCGCGCTTTTAAAATATCGCGAGACTTACCCCGCCCCTCCCCCTTCTCTCTCTCCCCCATGAACGTGCGCGGCGGGGTGGGGAAGTCTCGCGAGATTTGTAAATAGTAAATAAATAATCGGGCGACGGAAGCGGCCGTTGGGTTCAGACTCGAGAGCGTCCGCGTTCGGTGAGGAGGCGCGTGGGTTCGGATTTTCGTTATCATCATCATCCTCATCATCATCCTCCTCATCATCATCATCATCCTCCTCATCATCATCATCATCCTTATCATCATCATCATCCTCATCATCGTCATCCTCATGATCATCCTCATCATCCTCCTCCTCATCCTCCTCCTCAGCAGCCATGGTCAATCTACTGCTGGATGAAGGCCTCCTCTTCCTCGCCCCCCCCCCCCTCAAAGCCATACCTGTCAACCCATACGGTTTTACCCCGTATTCTTGTACAGGGAAAGTTGAGTTGTCAGGGCCGGACGGCGTACAGCCGTTTAAATACGGGCAACAACACTAAAACGTGTTTCTTCTCCCTTGCGATGAGACTTTGTAGGATGAACGTTGAGATTTATAAGGAGCACGGGGTGACCAATAAAGGTCTGAGTTGGTCTATAATAGGGTAGGGGGCACTAATAATGGGTTGACCGGTATGTAGTGGTGAGTGTACTAGTGGTGAGTGTCTATTTTTGTTGCTCCATAGCGATGGGGCTTTGTAGGATGAACGTTGAGATTTATAAGGAGCACGGGGTGACCAATAAAGGTCTGAGTTGGTCTATAATAGGGTAGGGGGCACTAATAATGGGTTGACCGGTATGTAGTGGTGAGTGTACTAGTGGTGAGTGTCTATTTTTGTTGCTCCATAGCGATGGGGCTTTGTAGGATGAACGTTGAGATTTATAAGGAGCACGGGGTGACCAATAAAGGTCTGAGTTGGTCTGTAATAGGGTAGGGGGCACTAATAATGGGTTGACAGGTATGTAGTGGTGAGTGTACTAGTGGTGAGTGTCTATTTTTGTTGCTCCATAGCGATGGGACTTTGTAGGATGAACGTTGAGATTTATAAGGAGCACGGGGTGACCAATAAAGGTCTGAGTTGGTCTGTAATAGGGTAGGGGGCACTAATAATGGGTTGACAGGTATGTAGTGGTGAGTGTACTAGTGGTGAGTGTCTATTTTTGTTGCTCCATAGCGATGGGACTTTGTAGGATGAACGTTGAGATTTATAAGGAGCACGGGGTGACCAACAAAGGTCTGAGTTGGTCTGTAATAAGGTAGGGGGCACTGATAATGGGTTGAGAGGTATGCAAAGCCATCTATCACCATCCTACGATGTAACTTTAGATCCTGCACACGAGCTCGTGGCATCGCTCCGTCTCCCCGCGGATGAGCCGTAAACATCTCGGGACGCGTTCTATTATCTTGGCCTGTCACGTCGTTCGTGGTCGAGGATGACGACTCTTACCCCGTCGTTCATCGTGGCTTGTAGCGACTTGTCCTGCCCAAGCCCACTTTAATAGCGGTATGAATTGTGTAATTTAACCTGCGTATGTTCTTTGTTGCGTGCGTTCATTCGCGATGGCTCATTTACTGTACCGTAATTGCAAGCGTTAATCTTTTATGCTTCGCACACCTTTTTTTTTAACAATGACTATGTTTTTGAACCACGCCATTTCTATGTTCTGAAACGTTCCGGTTGGTTTTGTATTTCCCAAGTTAGGCTAGATCTGGTTGGCTGGGGGTAGGGTTGTATTATGTGGTCAGGTTTGACCTGGTCAGATCAGGTCAAGTTGACTTTTGCTAGATCAGGATGGGTTAAGTTTTGGGCCGGTTAGATTATGTTAAAATTGGCAAGTCGAGTCGGATCATATTTATAACAGGTTCAGAAAATCACTTCTACTCTGTCTATGCTCCTAGCCTGCACCAACCAGTGTGGAGAAGTATGGACAGGAAACATTGCCGTACTGTACTTTGTAGGTAGGCCCTCAGCCAGCAGTGCACTGACAAAGGAGTTGTATATGTATAAGGCCAGGTCAGACTGTGTTGAGACCCTGGGCAATCGCCATGCTGAATTCTGTAACAAGAGCAGAATCCAGCATCAATCTGGTTGGTTATGATCAGCACAATGACCAATGAAGAAGCACTACGTGATGTGGAAATACCGGGGTAAATTGGGATTTGTCATTATTTGCCCTGTGGATATTTCAAAGGTTACAGTGAGTGTATAAAGCAAAGGATGTAATTGAAGGAAAAGTGTTTGAAAGCTCCCCACCCAATTTTAAAACCATGTAAATGGTATGACCTTTGAGTTGGAGCAATCACAAAAACCCTATTCTTTCCATGAAGGCCAAATTCGTACAATTACAGCTTGTAATGCAAGATACCTGTAGCAACAAGGAAAAGGTTAAAACCACTGAAAATACAAGTTGGAGTGCACGGTCCCAATGCTACAGTCGTTGCACAACTAAACAGATTGCATGGCTCGTGACTTTTCTGTGCAACTTTCGGACCCAGATAACAACAAGGCAGTTTAACACACAAAAAAACTGTATTATGGATAACAAAGCAGCATAGTTCTCCACGTTGTTACATTTTTGAGCTTCCAGTGTCCCGTTACAATGTTCTTCACAAGTTTTATTTGTCCCTCCAAAAACATCACAAGGTATTATCCAACCACGATATTTCAAGGACACTAATGAGTACCGCTTGCGAGAAGCCAATTCAGTTCTAGTTCAGGTTGAACCTGCAGTAACAAAGCATGCAAATTACTGTGTATTTGTACAGCCCTTGCCAATCCACTGCTGGATGAGGGCTCCCTACTCCATGACAGCCATTGGGGTTATTTAACTATACTTCACCATGCTGGTCAAACCACTTTAAATCGACTAATGGTCACTTGAAATAAAAAGTGAACCATACTACAGCATAGGTTTTCCTGGTTGTACTGAATAGCTTTCCGATATGTTTTTGGGTTGTCCCGTACGTTGGGGTGCCATGGTGGCGAAGATGCAAACTGCCTTGCCTGGTATACAGGAGGTTGTGGGTTTCATCCCAACCCTGACGCCTGTATATTTGGAGTTTGCATGTTCTCCCCGTGGTCGCGTGGATTCCTCCGTGTCCTCCACGTTTAGCGTAGTTCGCTGCTATAAATTTCCACATTAAGCCACTTCGTTGAGCTATCATTTGTGGCCAAGTCGCTTCTGAAAAAGAGCTATATAGCTCAGTGGACCTTGGCTGCGGAAAAAAAACAATTGTTCGGCACGGTCTGATATTTCACTGCACGTGCTTGGAAGCTTCTTCGTGAACTGAATAAGTGAATCAGAAACCCAGTAACCGCCTTTGCCGTGTCCCTTAGAATTGAAGCCCTCACGGCGCCACCGCTGACCCCGGGTGTAAACGGGTGGAGATGCCGGTTCCCCCCGAGCAGCTTCTCACGCCGGCGATGCTGGGCGGTGAACCCGAACCGGTGCCGGTGGCCCCCCTAGTGGCCCTATCGTGCACCTTGCCAGACGCCGAAGTGGACGAGGAGAGCATCCGCCTGGAGCGGCTCCTCGGGGACAAGGAGCGGGAGTGGCACGAGCTGCAGAAGCTGCGAGCGCGTGCGCTGGCGGAGTCGGTGCGGCGGGCGGAGAGGGCGACTGCTGAGGAGAGGGAGCGCTTCCTGCAGCTCAAGGATGACTTCAAGGTGCCTCGTGGGACCCCAGTGTTAACTAAGTTTGCATTGTTTATTTTAGCCTCGGTTTGGTTGATGATGACGACCTGTGGAGTGGTAGTTGAGTCTTGGATTGTGGATTGTATTTCATAATTCTCTTAGTCTAGTCAATGACATTCAAATCAGATGCTCTTGGTTATTGCATTTCGTTGTCAGGGGCACAGAATTTTTTTAAAAACATGTTTTAATACGTATACTGTATAGCCAATGATCATATTTGGTCTTTCTCAGTTACTGCTGTTTCTCAACGTTGCCAAATGATTTGAGCATGTGTCTTCATTCATATTCATTAATTTAGTCTTGTCTTAGTCATTCTCAGGTCCTTGGTGTGTAGTCGTAATCATCGATATGCTTGATGATTTTTGTCAAGTCAAAGACAAAGAAACATAACACATGCAAGAGCTGTTTTGTAATCCATTACGTCAGAAATCAATTATCCCAGCTCTAATCATGACTTTGCACCATGTCTCGTCTCCATCGTGTGCAGTTCAACCTCAGGCTGCTGGAGGAGCGCGATGGCGAGCTGGAGCACTGTGAGGCAGATTTGGCGAGCGCGCGCTCCGACAATGCGGAGTTACGTGCCCACGTCAGCGAGCTGAGCGTGCAGGCCGACCGCCTGCGCTCCGCCCTGGCCGCTGCGAGGCGCGACGGCGAGGAGGAGATGGCGCAGCACCGTGAAAGGCTGCGGGAACTCCGCCTGGACACAGAGAGGGCACGTGGGTCGGTCTCACTTTGGTTGTGACTCGGCGGACGGTTCCGTTTAAAAACTTGGGCCGGAGGTTCATTTTTGTCTGGTGTGATATCAGCACTTTCGGTCAGGGTTCGAAATCTGCCACTTTCGCAATGAATTGTCGAAAGGAATGTGGCTTACGAGAAGAGGATCTTTATTAAATGGTTTAATTTTGCATGTTTGATATTTGCGTGAAGGATAAAGTATGTTGAAAAAAAACAAAAATGTTTCCCAACCGCAAACATTTTTTGTAGTTGAGAAACATTTTATTATGCTGGTCTCAAGATGTCAAGGTGTTCATGTGCACAGCGTAGGCTGTAACATTTAAAACCACTATCTTGAACTGTAGTGACCCGTGAAATCCTTTTTAAAAATAAGTCCCTTGGTAAAGTTTTTGCATTATACGCAACATGCTGAATGCCTGCGTTTTATGTGTTCACTGTTTTCTTTCTGCGTACGGCAGTCGTGGGCAACTTGTGACTCAAGGTGCCCCTTGTGGTGGCCTGTTTTTAGTGTCTTTAGGTTTGTGCGTTGGATCATGCTTAGTGCACAAGCACGATTTCAAGCTTCCAGCCCACTGAGTTGAAGAAGGGGTGCTCATGTTACTCACTATGTATGTTCAACTTTTTTCGCACCGTACGTAGCCAACCGTGCTAATCAGAGGTTGCCCATCACTGGCGTACAGCATTCAACACGGATAAGTCATGGAGCGAGCGGTCATGCAGCGTTTAGCATGCCGCGCTACCAACCCAGCGACCTGAGTTCGATGCCCGCTCAAGGCCAACACCAGTGACGATTATCTTAACCGGTTCTGGGCATCCCCTAGGTCGACTCGGCCTCAAATGAGTACCTGTTGCAGTGTGTAAACATCGCCATTGGGGAGACAACGGCGGCTGGGCGTGGTGTTGGCCACCCACCACCTCGTGCCCTGTGGCCGGCCTTTGTAGGTGCTCGCGAACATCACTTACCCTAATAGTCTGTTAAAGGGTTATATGGGGGATCTTCGTCACGTCTGCTCCCCACTTCCACCAACTTGCACGAACCACAGTAGTGGTGATGTACGGTCAAATTATCCCTACAACGTGGTCAGGTGAAGGGAGCCCCCTCAGCCAGCAGCGGATTGACAAAGGTCTACAGATGTACGTGCAAAACGAATGTGTTGGCATTCATGTTGAATGTGGGGTCCCATTGCTAATGGTAGAGATGACCCTGCTGTGATAATAGTCAAATGTGTATTGTGTCACGTTTCGGAATTCATTTGCATATGAATGGGTTTATGGACGTATGAAGCTCTAGTTCAACACATCACCAACAATAAAAGTGTATTTTCAATTTTTACAAAAAATAGCATGTAATGTGGGAATATAGGTGTTGTAAATATAATTATTGATTGTTTTTACACATTATTTCCTGACTAATTGCTTAAATAGGCTGCGAGCATAAGCACCCAGAATGTTCCGATCTTTTCAGATGCAGGGCTTAGCTATCAGCAGAAGTGAGTGCTGTCATCTGTTGTAGTACTATGCTATGCTCCAGCGTCTGTTCCCCGCCTTTACCAACCCGCAGAAGTATGGTCAGATAACCCCTCTGACCCACACGAAGTGGAGAAGCCTCATTCCCACACTATACATGTAACATAGGCTTCTTATTACTATGCCCGAGAAATGTTTTTGTCTGTCCGTATGTCTGTAAACGTTACCCACGTTTCCACAAAAACTATTAACCCTTAAAGCAATCACTAGGAAACGTACCACATCTCCCCAATGCCAATGGCCAGATGCATATAGTTTTATTAGTAAGATTGGGAGTCAGATAATTGCATTTTACTATATATATACACTTTTTTATACAATGTGTACCAGCACAATTATCGCTAGTGGGTGATTGTGGGCTCGTTTTTCATCGGCACAGAAAGTTATCAAATGTCATAGTGGAGAACATTAATAAAATAACACCTCATAATTGTCTCACCACATAAATAAATAGAAAAGTATTTTTCACACAACCTGTTGGCCAAATTGCCTTCCAGCAGTGCATCTTATCAGAATAGAGGCTCCCATAATGTACTGCTTTGTCAGCTTGTTTGTATATTGCCCTGGTGCTGAACTGTTGGTTGTGTGTGCGATGTGGACAGGGGGGTGGAGGCTCAGCTGAGCCAGCGTAGCGAGGAACTGGAGCGGCTGAGGAGGGAGCTCGAGAGAAAGGTGGAGGAGACCCGTGGGGAGCTCGGCCTGCAGAAACAGGTGCGTGGAGAGGGGGCGGTTTAGCTACAACTCTTTCGGAGCTCCATCCATTCCTGACATTCAGTTGCCACGGCAGGTCTCTTGTCTGTGGCAATTGAATGCATGTATTTGTGGGTTTTTCGCTGTGGATTTCAAAGCCTAGCCATAATTTGTGTGTGGTGGTGGTACAACTGCCGTAGTGATGGTACCACCATTTAGTGGCGAATGGCGGCTACAATACCTAGTGCACCGCGCTATGAACCAAGTGACATCGATTTGATTCCCAGCCATAGTGAACATTAGTGACGGATATTGACGCGTCCTTAAGTGAGTGCCTGTTGTGATGTGTAAATGTCATATCCAGGCATGGTGTTGGTTACACCATCCCCGCCCAGTAATGGATGCTCACTGGATGTGTATGCTGAGTGTGTGTGTGATGCATGTGTGTATGTTAAGCTATACATTTCATATTAGTTTTTGTATGTCTGTGTGCGTGAGCTAAATGTGCTTGTGTGTGGTTGTGTGTATTTGTGTTTAGAGCATGTGTATTTGCTGCGTGTGTGCATGTTTGTGTCTGGGTGCATGTGTGAAAATGTCTTCTTTTGGTGCATGTGTAGTGGGTTTACTGGAGGCATACACTTGACTTTGGAGGCAACACGTTTATTCTCACACCCCAACAGAGTAACTACATAAACGTACACAGGTTAACTAGACCACAACGGGGTAATTAGACTACAACGGGGTAACTACATAACCGGGTCAGTCAGTAACATACTGCCTGACCCACGATCCCGAGCGTAAAGACCGAAGACTGAGGACCGTGGATCGAAGAGATGTAGCACCAACAAGTTCCATTCCAACAGACAGCCTCGATCAGCTCTCGGAACCTCCCTTTTATGCCCCTGAGCGTGGCCTGGCTCCGCCCTCGGCCACGCCCCCTTCTAGATCCTACTTGAAGGTTCTGGGGTTTACATCACGTGTCAGTCTCGCCACCTTTTGTCCCCCCTGATTATCCTGTCCTGGTCACATGCTCTCTCGGGTTCACCTAGACTGTCAAGTCGTCAACCGCCCTCTTCCTGACTGTCACCAGAACCATGCCCCCTGGGGACCCCTTCCATGCCATACATACTCTGGTGCCAGAGAGAGGCTCTAACACGCACAGTTGCACTCTTCTCTCAGTAGCTGGCGCTAAACGCCGTAGCGACTCAATATACGTCACTACATATGTATGTGTTTGTGCGATGCACTTTTGTGTATGGTGAGTGAGCGCGATGCATGTGTGTGAACGGTGTGTGTATGCACAATGTATATGTGTACATGCATGATGTCTTGGTGTGCGGTGCATGTATATATTGTGTATTTGCACCGATGCACGTGTGTGCGTGTGTGATGCACGTGTGTGTGAAATGTGTGTCTGTGTGCATGCGTACGTGCATTGTGTGTGCGTCCTTCCGTCGTCCTGTAGGAGCTGCTCGCCGAGTTTGATGTGCACTTGCAAAAGCGCGAGCACGAATTCCGTCTCCATGCCGACCAGATGAGCAACACGGTGCTGGCACACGAGCTCAAGGTAACCACGGCAATGCCATTGGTTCCGGTGGCTAATGGTGATCATTAAAGTGATGCAGGCAGGCACACGTAATGCACGACACAGCGGACAAAACATAGCTCTGTTGTAAGTACCATGATCATTGTTCCGATTAAATTCACAAAGTGGCACCTCCATCCATTTAAATGACTCCTCTCCTCATCCGTATTGTGTTCAGTCACTGTATTGTAGGACACATTGAATTTCCTCGCACTCTTAGACCATTGAACTCCCTCCCATCATATCTTCATCTATTTGAAAAAATGTTTTATTTGCCATGTTATCTTTACAAGTAGATTTTGTCTTTTCCCTTGGTTTGTATCCAGATTGTTCTATCAGCATCATGTCATGAAACAAAGAGCAATTTTATACTTATTGATGCATTTCTGGGCCAAGCTATACCTTACTAAATCTTCGTAAAGTAATACTCGGCACATTTGTCAAACAAATTTTGTTCTCAGAACTGCTTTATGTAAGACAAAAAAATCATTAGCGTCGCTGTGGAGAATAAAAGTATTAGAATTCATAAATAAGCAGACGATATGCCTCCACATATCTGTCGCGCCAGATAAAATATAGAAGTATATATTTTTGCACATCCCATCAGCCACACGGCCTTCTGGGAGCGCATAATGTCAGCAGCATTGGTTCAGCAATGTTTCGAGGCCTTCCGACCGGAGCTGAGCGCCATGCTGCTGTGGGACTGTAGGTTCGGCTGCTGGGCAAGGAGCTGGAGGCAGCTCAGGCGGCGAACGAGCGCTATGGGGCCGCGCTGGCGGCCGCCGAGACAGCGCAGGTGGAGCTGGAGAAGCGTCTGCGCGAGGCCGAGTGGGCCCTACGGGACGAGGTGGCCGTGCGTGACGCCAGGTGACGACCGCTGCACTATCGCTGCCGTGGCTGCCATTGGCGACGCCGCCATTGCTTAGCCCTGTTGAGAAGATTATTTATGACGTTGGGGCGGCTTAATCAGAAACCTGGCAGTGTTTTACCCAAGGTCGCTCTTGTGAAAGAGATTTTATTCCTCACTGGGCTGTCATCTGGTTTAAAAATATTTCAGATATATATACCGTATTCTCTGAATTATAAACCACGTGCTCTCCCTCATTTTAAATCAATAATTGCCAGTGCATCTTATAATCTGGTGTGTGTGTGACCACATTTGAATAACTTTTTTGACCCTGGGTGCATATTACTTTTTGAAGTGTCTTATAATATGGAGAACATGGTATAGATGTATACCTTTATATATCTTTAAAGTAGAGAGGCTTTTTGAATTGTAAGATCTGTGTTTATTAAGTTCCTCGTTACTTCTGAATATAAAGGTGCTGAACAAGCTGGGGGATAGTAACAATGCTGCAAGAATGGGAAAAACTGATGAATGATGAGAACAGGGTCAGGTTTTTGTATGAATCTTTGATCCCTTGCTCCGTTCCATTTGCTGCTCACGCAGTGGTGGTCTCAGCCCTAAGTTCTGATGTTCCTTTGCATTGTTGGCTTTTGTTCACACAAATCGTGGAGAATATAAGTAGCAAAATAAATAAGCATATAATACACCTCCTTCCCAACTCTTTCCTTCCACATAAACAATAATATCATATGTCACATATCCCATCAGCCATACAGCCTTATGCAAGCGCACAATTTCAACAGCATTGGTTCAACACAAGCAAACTCTGGGTGGTTGCGTTGTATGCTGCAGTGGTGGTCCGCTGTGTTTAGTTTGTTGTCCTTCCCCTGCACCTCCGATTAGCATGATTGGCTATGTACGTGTGAAAGAAGTTCAACATACATACGTAATGGGTAATGCCGACGATCCATTGTCTCTGCCGCAGGATCAAGGAGCTGGAGGAACGGGCGGAGGATGCACGGTTGGCACACGCCAAGGGGCTGGAGCTGCTGAACCGCAAGTGCGGGAATGGCCACAATTTATAACAGAACTGCTTTTGAGATTCCTTCAATGGACTCTTTTTTTGTCCATACACTCGCGGTGCTGAGCTTCCCCACATGCCCTTATTTAGAGAAATGGCTTTCCAAATGTTTATTTTTTATTCTCAAGAGCTAATATTTAGCCAAAATAAATGAAAACCAAATTTGATGTGCTGAGTTTTAATGTGCAGCCATTGGTGACCAAGCTGAGAGACCATCTACTCGCAACACTTGAGAACCCTGGATTTGAGTGATGTCGTTATAGTGCCATCATGGAGTGGCTGACCTTAACTGAGCCAATGGTTGAAATGCCACAGTTTTGAATGTTTCCATCATTCGATGAATCGTCACGTTTGGGGGGGACATGAATCGATTTTTTTTCGACTGTGGAGAACGTAGCTCCTCCAGTGGCTGCATGGAACACGTGAACCCATAAGCCTTATCCAGAATGCACATTTCTCCTGGGCGGCTGCAGGTGCACCGAGCTGGACCGTCAGACGCGGGAGAGCGCCGCCGCACTGGAGCGAGTGAGGGCGGCCGGCGCGGAGCGCGAGCGAGCGCTGGAGGCACAGCTGCGGGAGCTGCGCGGGGAGCTCCAGGATGGGGAGGTGGAGCGCAAGCGGCTGGAGTGGAGCCATGCTGATGCCCTACACCTCAAGGACCATGACATGGAGAAGTGAGACGCACGGATCAACGTCGTTATCCGTCTCTCAATCGGAGGAACTGTCAACTAAACTAGTTGTAACGCTTCATGTAAATTGAGAAATGTATCAAGTGGAAAAGTTCTTCCAGGCTGGAAATGTGTAAGAGTAAATCGTCAACAAAACATGGCCACAAATTTGGATCTTGAGTTGGTGGTCTAAAACAAGGCTCTGTGAATTATACACACGGTATGGTGTTGTCATGTGATATGCAAGGCATGATGGGAGGACCGATCTAATGGTGACAATTGTGACTGTTGCAGCCTATAAATCACCTTTTGCATTGTAGCATGAGTAACTGGCCATGTGTGAACTTCAGCACTATGGAGATAAAGGCAGCTGGGCGATAAAACTGAACATGCGGGAGCGCGTTTGCTGCTTGTTTACAGAGTTTTGCGGTTCGAGGCCATGGGTCACCCAGGTTAATATCGAGGGAATATTAACCATAGAATATTCACGTCTGATTCACAGTTGACAATAAAGGATCCTATGACGTTATTCGAAAAAGAGTAGGCCATCCGTCCTGGCATCACGGTCGAAGTCTTCCAAATGTTATGAATTACTGCCAACTACTACATCATGAAAAATCACACAGCAGGATCACCCCCCCCCCCCTACTGGTTGGCCAGTGTTGTGTACACATTGTGCCGCACAGTCACAGCTGCCACTGGTGGTTCCCGAAGTAAGGCTGCAGCAGGGAAATTGAATGGTTTAGATGAGATGTGACGTTTGGGGCTTTGAGTTTCTGCGACATATGAACAAGCGCCCTATAAATGCAAATCCTTATGTGGGGGATGTTTGTGTCAGGCTGCGGGAGGAGCTGCAGCTGGCGCGGACTGCCTGGGACACGCACGTGACGCAGCAGGCGCGACAGACAGTGCGCAGGGACGTGGAGACGGAGGCCGACCGGCAGGCGCTTGCCAAGATGCGCGCTGAGCTCGCCGCATGTCAGGACGCCTCCGCCAGGCTCGTACCAGATCTCTGGTGTTTGCGGCTGATGGCGGCACCATCAGCTGCCAGCTTTCGTAGAGTCCCTGGGGTGGGGTAGGGAGCATATGGTGAGCAGACTAAATTCGGCTCGCTGCTCCATTTTCAATTCGAATTGATGCTTCTGTTCGTGATGAATTGGTAGTAATAATATGTTTGAAGTAGCATCTTCATTCGTGCAAATTGCATCTCACAATTCCTGGGGAACCACAGACAATTGCAGAGGAACAAAGTTGGAAGGCAGCAGCCAGCCCATGAGCCGATGCCAACCATTTGCCAAACTCTGCAGAATCGCTATAGAATATGTTATCAGCCATTTAATTAGTGTTAAAATGTTGAAGGAAACTGGAGCACCTGGAGGAAACCACGCTTGTGAAGGGGTACCACTTTATCCCATGTAGATGGCATAGATGATATTAATCCGCATTTTGCTGTACAGGCTTCTGGAAAGCCAGGGTGTGGGATTTGATGCCCACGGGAATGGAGTTTTCGCAACATTCGTGCGATCCGCCACCACTGTCCGGCTAAAGGCACAGCACTGAAATTGCTAAGCTCACGCCACTGTTGGTGGAAGAGCCTTCACTCGGGTGTGTTTGGCCTTTTCTTCCAGTCCAGCCAGACGTTTTGGAAGAGATCGGAGTACCCACACTTTACTTCACCACATACCACCTGCTGATAGACTATCTTGTGATGAACCCATTCATACCGCTTGGTGGATGGTGATGTGGGGTGGGGGGAATTTAATAAAGTTGCCCCATCGTTGCAATTGCCGCTCCGGGAGATTGAATCGCATCGGCGACCTTGGGATTGCAAGTCCAGAGGTCGCCACCATGGCAACACCCATTGCTCTTGATATTTGCATTGAATTGTGCATGCAAGTTATTTACAAATGGTGCCAATTTAACAATCAAATTGTATACAACATTTTATTTTCAGTGCATATGAGACGGCAAAAGGGAGATGAAGACGATTATATTCTTGAATCGAATCGTGACCCCATTACATACCTAATGCTCATCACATTGAGGCTAATCCAGTGATAGAGACAGAACAAAAAGTCCACAGACACAAGACACAATGCAAACTTGAATCTTACCCTGACCCGGATTTGTGATGATAGAATCATCGTATGAGCGAATCATAATGCACCTCGATATAATGTTACATGTAGGCTGATGGATTGAACAAGACAGAACATACAAAGCAGACAAAAAGAAGTTGCTGCAATTCGTGACCCGGAATTGTTGACTGTTCAGATAATAGGGACAAGGGTGAATGGTAACATGCGTGAGTGTCATATTTACTTTTCCAAAACAACATCGATATAGGGCATTGTCTGAGTTTAAATGTTCTGTCATAAATAAATACATACACATGGCCGGTATTCTCCCTAAATCCTTTCTAACCCGTCCTAGGAACAAGCACAGCTTTCATGGATTTGAAATACCCGAGCTCACATTGACTTCCAATTGCTTAATATATTTATGTTGATATAGTGCCGGTTCTTAGCATGCACCATGCCTCTTCAATTAAATACTAATAAACCATAGATAGGTACGTTTATTATTTGCGCAGTTCTCATAGCGTAAAGGCTATCATGGGTGTGCTTTTATTCTTTGCAAGCATTACAGAACATTTGCATCTTGAGTCTACTGCGGACAGTGACTGGCAATGAGTTCCAAGTAGTTGGGCCAAATTCTGCAAAAGTGTGTGAGTGGGTGAGTGGGTTCGTTGGTCAGTGAGTGGGTGGTTGAATATATGGGCCAGACACCGCAAAACAGGGGCAATATCTTGATGTCTACTTGCACTGATCTCACCATAGCGTGGTGTAGTATGGTCTTATAACCCCCACGAGGCATAGGTGAGGCCGCTTATATTTGGGTTGCGTTTTCTGTAAGGTGAATGTGCAGGCGCGTGCTGCTTGTGGCATCTCTGCGCCGTCTCACCGGTGGTTCATTTGGCTCGCAGGTACAAGCAAGAGCTGGCGTTGGCCGTGCAGCGGCAGGAAGAGCTGGAGAGGGAGCGCGAGCAGCTTGCGCTCGACTCGCAGCGCAGGGCGGAGGAGCGGGAGAGCGCCCTCCACCGGCAGGGAGACAAAGTGCTGCAACCCATCATGCAGGCGCGAGACCAGGTGCTCAAGTCTGTGTGTCCTGCGGTGTCTCTGTGTCTGTCCCTCTGTGTCTTGCTCTGGGGAGCAGTGGCGCAATGGTTAGCATGCTGCGCTATGAACCAAGCAACCCGAGTTCGATTCCAGTTCTCGGTCAACACCAGTGACAATTATTTGAACCGGTCCTGGGCCCTTTCCGAGGTTGACTCAGCCTTCGATGAGTACCTTGTGCAATGTGTGGTGCTGGCCACCCACCCCATCGTGTGCCGTGTTGGCCTTCATTGGTGTTCGCTAACTGCACTTGCCCCGACAATCTGTTAAGGCTATATGGGTAACCTTTGTCTTTGTGTCTTCCTGTGACTGTGGCTGTGACTCTTGTGTCCTGACGTGTCTGTTTGCCTCTGTCTGTGCATCTCCCGCTGGTGCCACAATGTCCCACTCTTCCTGTGTGTTCCTCTTATCTCCCCGTATGTTCCTGTCGTATCACTTACATCCCTCTGCGTTGTCGTGTGTCTCTGCTCGTGCTGGCCCCAGGCCGTGCTGCGGCTGAAGGAGCGCGAGCGCGAGCTGAGCGAGGCGGTGTCTGCCGGGGCACGGCTGAGACGCGAACGCGACAGGGCCATGGCGACTCTTCTCAAGCACGGCATCGCTTTGCAGGATAACGAACCGCAGGTAACGTGTCTCCGGATAACGAGCCACACAGGTAATCGCGATTCTCACCTGCACGGTTCTATGTGTGTATCGTGAGCATAAGAATCGATTTTAACCAATTAATATATTAAATCCTTGGCATGCCCTAAGCTGGTTTGGCTGCTGCTTCCCATTTTTAGGCTGCTGCTGGTCTGTTGGTATCTGCTGTTGTTGTTCTTATTGCTTCTGGTGCTCTTCTGTTGGCTGCAGCTATTGCCTGCTGCTGTTATGTTTCCTGCTGCTGCTGCTATATTGCCTGCTGCTGTTCTGGTACCTCCTGCTGCTATATTGCCTGCTGCTGTTCTGATAGCTGTTGCTGGTGCTGTTTTGTTAGCCGCTACTATTATATGGCTGCTGCTGCCACTACTGCTGCTGCTGTTATATTTGCTGTTGCTGTTCCTGTGGCCGGTAGTGTTCTATGGCTGCTGCTGCTTTGTTAATTGCTGCTGCTGCTGTTCTGGTGGCTGGTGCTGCTGCTAGGATGAGGAGTCCGATCTGGTGGGCACGGATGACTCATCGCTGCGTGCCCAGAACGCTGCCCTGCGCGCCGTAATCGGGGAGATGCGGCGGGAGATGGAGGCGCTCACGGGCGCTGGCGGGAAGCCCACCAGGGAGGCCGGTGTGTCGCCAGCGATAAAGGGAGCTGAGCTGCAGCTGGAGGCCACCGTGAGGAGGCAGGCGGGGCAGGTAGCACGGCTAGCCGCTACCGTGGCCCAGCTGACGCGGCAGGTGTGTGTGTGTACTTTGCGTGTGTGCGTGCATTCGTGTGTGAGTGCATTCGTGTATCTGTTCGTGTTTCTGTCTCTCTGTGTCAGCCTACACCCGAGCCTCGCCATAGGCAGCATGGTGACGTCGCCACCACTTGTGCATTCGTGTGTGCGTCCATGTGTGTGCATGCGTGTTCAAGTAAGTGAGGGTGTAATTGCTCAAACATTTGCACTTATAATCGAATAAACAACGCTTATTGAAATAAACAGTCCTATGAAACTCGATGAAACAGGAGTTTAGACGTGAGCAGTATGAACGTTCCGAAGAAGGAAAGTTTCACGGTTTCACTGGAGCAATGTATTCCCATCCCGTGGTTGTCCCCTCCATCCCTGGTTGGTGTGTAACCACCCTCCACCACTACCGCTCCGACCCATGTGACACGATTCACTCGGAGTAGGAGGATCTGCGCAGGCTGCGTCTCATCGCTGATCCCGGTGGCGCCGCTGTTGCCGAAACCTCCCATCCTCGTGTCGCCGAGCTGCAGGCACTGCTCACTACCTCACAGCCCACGACTCCCTACTACTGTGACCTCACCACTTGCCACTAGCGTCTCGCCACAACTGCCATCTCGCCACTCGCTGCCGCCACTACCTCGCTGCTCACCACTCGCTACCACGCCGCCTCTCCGCTTGCTGCCATTGCCTCCTCAACACATTGCAAGCACGGCCTCACCATTGCAAGCACAGCCTCACCATTCACTGCTTCCATCGCATCCCTCACCACCACCTCACCAATTACCGCAAACTACCATTGGCTTGCATCTCACTTTACATCACCACCACTTAACCACTAGCTGCCACTATAACCTCACTTATTACCTTGCCACTCACCACCTGCAACTTACTGCTCACCACCACATCACCTCACTTTTAACCACCACCACCACCGTGTGTGGTAACATGCATGTGGTGTGTACCGTGTGCAGGTCAGGTTGAGGCAAGCGGCGCGGCACGTGGCACGACTCTCCCGTGAGCGCCAGCAGCTGCTTGAGCTGGGGAACCGGCTGAGGGCTCAGCTGGCCAGCGCCGGCCTGCACGGTGAGGGCCGGGTGAGGTTTTAGGCAGGGGTTATTTAAGTGTGGGAGGATACATGACGGGACAGAGCATTCCAGCATCCACCCTCCCATCGCCAACCACTCCCGCGGCTCCGATTAGCACGGTTGGCTACGTACGGTGCGAAAGAAGTTCAACGTACATACAGGCATACCCCGTTTAGTGGGGCGAACTACGAAATTTGGCATTCCCATTCATGCAGGTCGCAAGTCTAATTCTAGCTTCCTGCTGTAGTCTGTGGTTAGGCACACCCTTGCCATTGTAAACCCCGGGACTTTGCGAAGAAACACATTTACATTCATCTGTGAAACAAAACTACACGAAGGAGGCTCACTCACAATCCACTAGACACTACCAGAGCAGTCGAGTGGCCAACAATCTTTGGAATGTATCTAACTAGTTGTCAGTCTACAGCAGGAGTGGGGGACCTATTGCCCACAACCACTCGAGGCCTACCAAACTTTGAAACGGCCCACAAACGGTATTTATCCGTCATTTAAACCCCGTTTTTTTTTGTTCAATAGAGTCCGAGGATGAACCTCGGTCGGAGGGTGAGGATACAGATCCCGGACAGCGCCGTTTGTCTGCACGGGGACACGGGGCCAAGACGCGGCTGTCCCAGCTGGAGGCGCTACAGTACCAGCTGACGTCACAGGTGGCGTTACAGCATACAAATAATATTGTGATTTGTTTACCCGAAACAGTCAATACTGTGTTTTTCGGAGGGTTCTGCTACATTGGATCCTTGGCCAATTCCTTTTTTAAGGAGTCTTTTGCTTCATGCGGGAAGAAACGAGTACCTGGAGAACACCCACCATGCGTACAAGTGGAAGAAACATGATGGGTTCACAAACCTACACGCCGACTTGCTGTACTGCCATCTCTTGACCATCTCGCAAACCCAAAGAATGTTGGAGCATCTCAAATGTCTGACCCACCTACCCTTGCTTACCAAAGCACTGGATTACAAACATGAGAAACCACACCTGACTTGCTTAGTGGGTGTTATTGTGCAGCAGAGGTCATGACTCCATAGTCAATAGGGTCTATAGGCTGGCCGCTGATGAGTAATAGATTCGAATATATATGCTCACACATACACAGGCTTATATAAAACAAATGTAAATATCCGTAGAGCATTTAACAGACTGTTGGGGCAAGTGCTATATTCGCGAGCACCTATCAAGGCCAGCACGGAACGGCACCACGCCCGTCCGCCCTTTTTCTTCTCAGTGATGACTTACACACCGCTCCAGGTACTTATTTTAACGCCGAGTCGACATAGGGGAGGCCCGGCACCAGTTACGAGATTCTCCATTGATGTTGGTCGTAAGCGGGATTCAAACTCTGGTTGCTGGGTTTGTAACGCAGTCCACCGACCACTATAACTGCCCCTCCCTATATATTCCCACGTGCACTTTGACACACAAGCAGGCACATACACTTATATGCACACAAAATACAAAAAACAAAATTCACACCCGCACATGTACTCGGCTGCCAACACACATACACTTAATTGCACATCGATACATGGTGCGTATTCACCTGCAGGAGCTGCAGTTTGCCCAGCATTCCCGCCGCGTGCCTCCGCTCCCGGCGCCGGCCGACTCCGGCGAGACCGACAAGAGCAGCCTGACGGCGCCAACGCCGGCCCAGCGTGAGGTCAGTAGTGATAGGGACAGTAGAGATCTGCTGTTAGTTGGCACTCGGGGTGTCACTATTTATGACATGTTATTAAATTTCTTGTTTATCCCGCAAGGCCTCGCTGAGTCTCAAGAATATTTTTCAGGAGGGTTTTGCCAAATGTTTGCAATTGGGGGCAATGTTGCTGTGTGTAATTCCAAGTGAGTCATTTTTCAGGTACGTTTTCAGCATTGGGTTATTTGGTCAAAACCAGTGACATTGTTTCTTTTGCTATGGGAGGAAATCTAGAGAACCCGGAGGAAACCCAAAATGTTTAGTGTTTTAAAACGAATGTTGAGGTCGCTGTTGACGATAATGGTTGATGATGATGACGACGACGGTGCCGGTCGTGCTCCTGTACAGGCACTGCTCTCGTCGGATGGAGGGGGCAGCTCGCTCCACGAGCTCTGGAAAATGCTGGAACAAGACGACCCTGGCAGCTCTCCCAGCTACGGTCGGTGCAGTCACGTACCCACACACGCGTGCACGTACGCATATACACAACATGGACATATCCCCCTATAGCCCACACGAGCTCTTAGGGCGAGTGCTGTTAGTGATCCCCTCGCAAAGTCGGTATAGCGCATTAAGTGGTGGTGTGGCCATTGCCGTGCCCAGACACCTTTGCCTCCCCAGTGCTGATGTTCACACACTGCGTAAGCTACTCATTTTAATGTCCAGTCGACCTAGGCGGGGGGGGGGGCCCAAACCGATTCTGTCAATGCAGTACTTGTGTTGAGGACTAGTCGATGACGACTAGGAGACGGCGTGAAGGTTAAGGGCTTTCGCCAAAGGTTTATTAAAGATATTACAAATAACACGAGGGTTTCCAACTCCCAGGGGTTAGGGGTCCTACACTGAGTCCTGGTCCCTGCCCGGCTAGCTCCGCTCTATCTCCCTCGAGTCGGATTGGGGAATTTGCCAACACCCCCATGCCCAGCGCGCATGACGTCACGTTCCGTGACGTCTTCGCACTGGACGGCACACATGACATCACGTTTCCATTTTACTCCTCTACATTTGGATTAAATCCGGATGTTGGCGCTGATGGTTGGTGGATCACACAGGTATCTTGGAAAACACTCAACGCTCTGTGCGATGAGGTGGCCAGGCGATGGCAGTATCGTATAGCAAGAGGGCCTGTGACTCTTTCTGTATAGCGGGCTATTGTTGAACCTCGCACGCATGGTGGGTTTTATACAGGCACACTAGTTAGCTCCCATATGCCAAAAAGCCCATAAAATTACATTGGCCAAATATCCCACTTACAGGATGCGCCTTGAAACGAATCTTGAGACTCGGTAAAGTTTTCCTCGAATTTAGTTCCAGTGCTATTATTATATTTTGAGTGTTAATTCGTGTCCACAAGGGGGTGCTGTGTTACTGTGCGTGCTGTCAAGCATTTATCTTTTAAACAAGGTAAAGCCTCAATGAGTCTAAGGACTCGTTTTCAGGAGAGTCCTGTCAGTAGACAGTCATGTTGCTACATGTAATCCGAATTGAGTAATTTGCAGGTATTTTTTTGCATTGGGATGTTTAGCCAATACCAGTTAGACTACACGTGTGTTTTTAGCAATGGGAGGAAACGGACACAAGCAGATTAAATGCATGCAGAAGAAGAGGATAACATACAAACTCCACTTAGAAAGATGCCCGAGTCCGGCAAAGAACCCAGGGACTTCTCACTGTGTAATCATTGTGCCACACTGTGCTTTAAGAAATCAACATTGCAGTCATTAAATGTGAGCTCACTGAGGGTAGGAATTAAAGTTGAGTGGTTAACCGCAGGAGTTTCAAACCAATACTTCAACAGAGTCGGCAGGCATTGAGTAATGATCCAGCCAATCTACGATGCAATGCATTGTCATGATTTTGGGGTCACGATTCTATTCAGCAGTGGATTATCTTTCAGAATCAGAATCTTTATTCTGGAGAAATCCGATGCGCTACGAAGCTCTTTTTCACAGATGTCTAGTAGGGTCGGGTCAGAAAGTTACTTGCGGTGCATATGGAATTTGTATTGGTTGGGTAATGTAGTTTACTCGGCACCACAGTGGGAAGTGCTTTCTCCAAAGATAAAATGGTGAATCTCCCCGCAATCTCTCCCCATGCCATGTTGGTCATGGGATTTGTTTGACCATACTTCACGCTGATCACTGGGGAGTTAGCGAAGAAGTGGGCCAGGATTTGTTCAGATGTATAACTCACCACTCGGTTTAGTCATAGTTTGGAACCAAAGTCGTGTCTCTTGGTATATCGCACAGTGCGTGAATTACTGTGCCACTACTCCACCTGAGAATATAGTCTGGTGCAATAAAACCACGATCTATACAGGTACAAAAACAAACGATAAATTAATTCAAGACAATTAAATTGAGAAGTAAGAATGGATTTTATTGATTGTCATATCTTGCATCTCTCATGGGTGGCAGTGAGAAATGCTAGAGGGAGGGAGTTCCAGACAGTGGTGACAGCGAGGAAAATGAGAGACATGCTCACAACCTGTAGCCGTTAGCAAACTATAAATGCAAAGTTCCGCACCTCCGATTTAGTACGGTTGGCTACGTACGGTGCGAAAAAAGTTAAACATACATACCAAGTTTTATTCTCAACCTTGGCTAAAATTAATGCTGAGTGACACCTGAACTGATTCTGTACTCACTTCATCAATGATCCAGAACTAAGGATGAGTTGGGATGGGGGGAGGAGTATAAAGAAATCGTGATCATATCTCTCGAAGGGTAACAGCCATAGCTGCCAGCTTAAGGTTTTTAGACACAAGCCACCACTGTCCTAAGGCAAAACATGTTCTTGGAGAAGCTGGTTGGAAGTGGTAGACGTGTAGCAATTGACTCCTCCCTTCACCCTCGACGAATTGTCGCGATTCGGATCGTCACGATTCATTCAAGAACGGATACTTTTCATCTCGTTTCTGCTGCCTCGCTTGTGTTTTCTTTCTCGTGCGCTCCATCTTGTGTTGTTGTTTGTTCTGTCCCATTCATTCCATTAGCCTAGCGGTGTTAACTTTAAGCGTGACTGACTGATTTGTACGCGACGCATGATTCGAATTTGCTACCGTGAGTGTAAGAGTCTGTTAGAATCGAATCATTATGTATCTAGGAAGTGGGAGGTCTCAGGAATGTTGCTCTACTCGGCCTCAAAGCGTCACGCCACCAGCCTCCACAGTCCCACACCCGCCCCCCTGACGGAGATGCTCCTCCTCGTCCTGTTACTTCTCAGCTGCAGCAGCAGCTGCTTCTAAAGCAGCAGCAATAGGAAGTTCTACAGAATGACCTTTTGCAATATCGGCAAAAACATACGCAGCAGGAGGGACAGAAGACTCACCTGCCATTGACCTTCAAATTCACTGCTCCCTGAACTTACTACAGCTTCCACCCATCGACCCCCCCCCCCCCCCCTTATTGTTATCTGAAATCACCTGGACTCTGGACCATGGCAGCCTGACATTTTGGCTGGATATTAGTGATGAGTCGCCTGGCACGACACAGTGGAGTTGAATTCAGCAGAAACCAAACCAATGATGAAAAGGGGCACACACAATATGGGAGTGGAGCACACGAGCCAACCAAAGGCCAGAATTAGTCCTAAGCCCCTAACCCTATCCAATTCGCTTACGAGTACAAGTTCTAACTCTTAGCTCTCTTACTAGCCACAAGTACAAGTTCTAACATGAACAAACTCGTCATCCACTTGTATAATCCCGATCCAAAATCAACAAGCCAATCGGCCACTCATACTCGCCCTCCCATTGACCCTAACCAGCTAACCAATTAGCTGTGAGTAGCAGCTAACCATGCTGACCATTAACCCTAACCTCACCTGTCCCGCTTCACCAGGGCCGATTTCACTTTTGTGTTCGCATTGCAGTTTTGGTGCTCACTGCTCTGTGGCTTCCTCCTCCCTGTCCTTGCCTCTCATGCCATGCAGTTTGGTTGGTAAAGGTGCAGCCCTCCATTTATAAATAAATATATTGTGTTCTTAGTTCTTTCGGTAAAGTCACGTTGAAGGGAAACAGTAAAATAATAAAATATATATAAAACAATAAAAATTCTCACGACGTTTCGACCATAACACGAACGGTCGTCATCAGGTGTGTCGGTTTTCATGCAAACGTCATCAGGTGTGTCGGTTTTCATGCAAACCGACACACCTGATGACGACCGTTTGTGTTGTGGTCGAAACGTCGTGAGAATTTTTATTGTTTTATATATATTTTATTATTTTATTGTTTCCCTTCAACGTGACTTTACCGAAAGAACTAAGAATATGAATTACTGCAGTCACGAAAGCTTTAAATCAAAAAATATATTGTGCTTCTGATTAATTGCTCACGCCACTGCTGGCAAGAGGTCCTCCAAAAGAGGGAGCTCTAGAGAGCCTCTCTAGAGGCTATATGGCCTACTCTTCCACGCTGGGCAGATGTTTTGGAAGAGCTGGGGGTGCCAATACTGTACGCCACTACGCGCCACTTACTGACCGACTGCGGCGTACCCATTTATACTGCTGAGGTGAACAGGGGTCGTGGGGGGGGGCGTATTTATGACGTGACCATCGTTTCGGCTCGCACTGAGAGATCGAACCTGTGACCTCTATTGCAAGTTCACAGTGTGCTAAGCATTACACCATGGTGGCCTCGGTTCAATTGGGGTGTAATGATTCATCACTCAAATTTGTTTTAATGATGGTACATGAATTTAAGAGTGTAAGCATTGATGCCCTGATTCAAATATAGTACTCCTATTTTTACGTGCTTCTTGTAAATTCTGCAGACACTAAGGAATTGAAATGCACTTCAAAGCCACAAGTAATGTATTCGTGAATCCGATAATCCTGATCCCTATTCGTGACAATTCATTGAATCGTGGAGGGTATGAACTGTAGGCATTTTATATATATTTATATCAAGGTAATTTATTAAAACAAACGAGATATAAAAAACGCAACAGATGGTACAGACAAAACAGACATAATTTTTATTTAGACTGGAGGAATCTGGTGAGCTATGAAGCTCTTTTGCACAGATGTCCAGACATGAAAGATGACAGTACTAATAAGACCGTCCAAAAGAGTACTAACCAAATAGGGAAAAAATATTGATTCTTCAATGGAATCGTTACCCAAAATCTGGACACTGGATTAGCAGTGGAGATAGATGTGCATTGGTAAGATTATTACTTTACAACAAGAGAATAGCTACTGCTTTACATAAAACAGCATATGAATCATAAGGGACAGATACTCGGACGTATGATTTCCATCACATGTCACTATTGCAAGAACTGATTTTTTAACTCGATGAATCATGATGTGCCGAATGACAAGAGCTACCCATGTTCCTGATCTCAACTCAGCCTATTCTTCCTCGCAGCCCACCGACCAACCCCCCCCCTTCATCCTCTCAACCCCTACTAACCCTCACCCCCTCTCAGCATA